CCGACTGACAACCCGGGCTGGTTTGATTCGAATATAGATCACCCTTTCGCCTTAGACTTCGAAATTTTTATCGGCGACGTAGGACGTGCGTCGCATGACCGACTGCAGGCTAGTTATATACCTAATCTGTTTTCTTCCAGTTTTAAACATGTGGATGAGGCACGCCCCGGCGTGAATCGTCCGCTTGTCGCTCTGGTGTCTTGTTCGCCACCCAACAAAGCGGGCTTCGTTCATTTTGGCGCCCATCATTGGACAAAACGTAGTCTGATACGGCGTGCAGACCTGGTTATAGCCGAAATTGACGACACGCTGCTGCAGGTGCATGGTGACGTATATGCGCATGTCAGTGAGTTTGACTGCTTTGTGAAGGGTGAAACCCAGATCATTGGGGCCGCGGAAATCGCGGCGGTTCTCGAACAAATCAAACCCGAATACCGTGACCAGATGGCTGCGCTGATTCCAAAGATACCGCAGGAACGTTTGCGACTGGTCTATCCGCTGCTGGCAGCGATCGATCCTGAATCGCTTGAAAATCAGCTGGGACTCGGAGAACCCCCAGAAGAATATGTTAGGATTGCGCGGCACCTCGCACCATTGATAGAGGACGGTGACTGTATACAGATTGGAGTGGGCGAACCTTCGAGCTTAATGGTCAAGTTGGGTGTGTTTGACGACAAGAACGATCTGGGGGTGCATACGGAGCTTATCGCGCCGGGAACTGCTGGATTGGTGGAAAAGGGCATTGTCACAGGGCGCAGGAAAAATCAGCTGGCAGGTATTGTGGCGGCAGCGGCTTGGACGGGTGGTAGTGACGAAGACTTTGCAATCATTGAAGACAATCCCACCTTTCAGTTGTTCGACCCGGAATTCATTCTGGATGTCCGTCGCATTGCGGCGAATGAGCGCCAGGTGTCAATTAATAACGCTTTGTCAGTGGATCTTACAGGGCAAATTAATGCAGAAACGGTATTCGGTGCACGCATGATTAATGGTACCGGTGGGCAACCCGAGAATCATATCGGTGCATTTCTGTCGAGTGGCGGCAGAGCAATAACGTTACTGCCTTCAACCGCGTTAGACGGTGTCGTTTCCAGAATCGTACCGCAAATGGAAACAGGCTCGCTTGTAACGATACCGCGCTATTATGCTGATGTGATTGTTACTGAGCATGGGGTCGCGCACCTTACAGGCAAGAGTCATCGTGAGCGTGCAGAAGCGCTGATTAATGTTGCTCATCCGAATTTCCGCGGCGAACTCACCGATGCTGCGCGCAAATTTTTTGGCTAGCGTAGTGTTCTGAATGGCGGCGCGCAGAATGCCCCGCAGAGGGGCTATTTGTTGTCTGGGGTGCGCGGCGTAGTCGACTCGGCTTCAACAACACGCGCGCCGCGGAGCATGCCGATTAGTGCGTAGTTGCCTTCGTGGCACGCGTATTCGAACATAGGTGCAGTTGACTTCTGCATCGGGATATTCACCGTAAACGGTTGAGTGAACACCTCGGGTGCATCTATTGTATAAGAATACAGCAATGTCTCACCTTGCCTTGAAAAACGCTCTGTAAGCACAAAGCTTTCGCTGGATCCGACGGCCCCACTTCCAGCAGCATCGGCGATTGAGTTCGCAGGTATTTGAAAAATGGCTGTCTTGTCTGAAAAATTCCTGGTTCGCACGATCAATGTATCGTCTTTCCATTCGCCGCGTGCGTCCCCTGACCACAGCTTGAGTTGTGTCGGTAAATGAGGGCGACCGTCCATCGGGATCACACGGGCGTTGTGGATCATTTCTGTCACCAGCAGAATGTGGTTGGGGGTCTGAACGATGCGAAGATTGTTGTTATATGCACTTGGTGACAACGGTGGACCTGCATTGAATCCTGCGAGACAGCGTTCAGACAAGCCAAGAGATTCGGGACCTGCAGGACGAAACGTGCTCGGATCAGCGCTGTACGAAAACATGTCACGAACCGGCGCAAGGCGTAGCCGGTTGTGTTCATCCAATTGTTTTTCAGCAGCTGCAGTTAAAGTTGGCAGCCGGCCGTTGGGCGGATCGACAATCAGGGATGTGCGTAGATCGCCGGTGAGTTCTGTGCCCCAGTCGTACCAGATGTTGTTGTATGCACCTTCTATGTCCACGCTTTCGTTTTCGGCTCGATTATCGACGTCCAGACGCTGCAACACCGATGCGCGAAACGCCTGTGCTTCTTCGGGTGTCAATACGGCTTTGTCGCGAAGCTGTTCCGGGCGTTGAAATGGAGTAATGGTGCGAAAATCCCACAATCCTTCGATGCTTGGGTCACCCCAGTGCGTTACTGGCCCATCGGCCCCCCATGCTGTGCCGTGCCCCGAGACAAACAGTATGAGCGTGCAGAGGGTCATCGATATCAAGTGGTAGAAGGAGGTTAGCTTGCTTGGGTTATGAGTGCTCATCAGCATTGAACTCCAAATAGAACAATGTAAGTATACTTAGTTAAGGGATGGAATGCGCAAGTTTCTGTGCCGGGCTGCAGGACGGTAATCTCCCAGCGTTCATTTTTTGGATGTTTGAGAGAGGACGATGATGAATTCGGAATTACCCATGTTGGACATTACCGTTGTGGAGCTTGGTACGAGCCTTGCGGCACCCTGGGCCGGTTTCATAATGGGTCAGATGGGCGCCACGGTAATCAAGGTCGAACAACCGGACGGCGGCGACCCGGCTCGTAGCTGGGGTCCGCCCATTGCAGACGAGACATCCGTGATATTTCAGGTTGCCAACAGGGGTAAGCATTCCGTGGTCCTGGATCTGACCAAGACCGCGGACCTTGAAGCTCTCAAAGAAATCGTCAGTCGCCGGGCGGATGTTTTTATTCAGAATCTTCGTCCCGGAGCAGTCGACAAACTGGGATTGGATGCGGGCACGCTGCTCGAAATGCATCCCGAACTGGTTTACTGCAATTTAGGCGCATACGGCAGTGAGGGGCCATTGGCTGATCGACCCGGTTATGATCCGTTGATTCAGGCGTTCAGCGGAATGGCTTCGGTCACAGGTCCTGAGGATGGAGAACCGTGTCGTGTGGGGGGGCCGGTGAACGATTTTGGGACGGGCATGTGGGCGGTGATGGGTGTGCAGGCAGGTCTGATGCGACGATCACGCACGGGCAAGGGCGGGCTGGTTGACGTTTCGCTGCTGGACACAGCTTTAGGTTATATGTCGCTTTCGTTAACGGCAGCTGCAATAACAGGCAAAGCTCAGGGACGTCACGGATTGGCGGGACCAGGAGGACTTGTCCCCAACGAAGGATTTGAGACCGCAGATGGTGTTCTGATTATTACTGCCGGAACAGATGCACAATTTGCAAAACTGTGCGCTGTGCTTGATCACCCGGAGTGGGCGCAGGACGAAAGATTCAACACTGCGGGTGGGCGTCATCGTCACGCATCGCTTTTGCGGGAACTCCTGAGCGCTTCGCTCGGCACGCGTACGCGCGCCCAATGGATGGAGTTGCTGGATGCCCGGGGCGTGCCTAATTCTCCGGTTTTTGCACCGCTTGAGACGCTTGAGCACCCGCAAACCCAGGCTTGTGGAATGATACAGGCGGGTAGTGATGGCGGTGCGCCGCAAATCAGACTGCCGATTAAACTCGATGGAGAACGATTCTTGCGTTCGTCTCACGTGCCGAAACCAGGCGAACACAATCATCTGTATTTAAACGGTGCAAATCCTGCCAATAAACGGTAGCCGCGAGATCACGACAGCATCGAAATGGCAGGCCTTTTCCCCTGCAGCAGAGCTTCACCGACGAGGCGCGCCTTGTAAGGCTTAGGATCGTGCAGCGTCAGCGTTCTCGCGTCCCGCCAGAAACGGTCCAGTCTTTGTTCTGCGAGCGTCGAGCGAGCACCAGTGGTCTGGAAAATGTCCTGACATACCCGCAGAGCGACTTCGGTAGAAACCACTTTGGCCTGTGCCACCAGCACTGCAGCCTGGGCACGCAGATCCGCGATCACCTCGGTTGACAGGTCTTGTTGCAAAGCATCGTTTACTTTGTTGACCTTAAGTGCCGCCTGTGAAACCAGCGCTTCGGCGGCGGAAGCATAAGCCTGCGGGGTGCCGATTTCGGTGAGGATGTAGGGGTCTTCTACGGCGTGTGCCACATTGCTTTCCATCCACGGGCGCGCGTTGGTGCGGACGTATTCGGTGGCGCATGTCAGCGCGCCCTTTGCCATACCCACATACATGGCCGAGAAACCAAGCTGATAAATCGGGCCGATCACGCTGCTGTCTGGCAAGTTCAGTATGTCGATGCCATTCAGCAGATTGGCGTGCGGGACGTACAGATCCCTGAATTCGATACCGCCACTGCCTGTGCCCCGCTGGCCCATTGCGCTCCAGTTGTTCTGGATGGTGATACCCTGAGCATCCGCCGGTGTGATCGCCACACCGAGCGTGTCGTGATGACGACCAAATACCAGCAACAGGTCTGCTGCTGGCGAGCCTGTGGTAAAGAACTTCCGGCCATTGATCGAGACGCCGTCCTCAGTGTCTTCAAACACTGTTTCAAATGTGTGCACTCGATTGGAGCCTTTCTCCGATGTGGCGTTGCCGATAAACAGGTCGTCATTTACGACGCGACTCAATACACTTGCGACTTGCTTCGGTGAGCCGAATTCGATGAGCGTGGAAACCATGGCCGAATGTACAGCAAGGACTTGCGCAAGCGATGGGAAAGCTTCGGCAATCTGTTGGGTAATCGCGATGCTGTCCGCTGCGGTGGCGCCGAATCCGCCCAGCTTTTCCGGGACCGTCAGCTTCATGAATCCTGCCTCCTTGAGTGCCTTAATCTCCTGATGCGGGAATTCGCAGGCTTCGTCTCGCTCGGGGTACGCTGCGGCGAAGCCTGGGAGCAGTTCGCCAAGCCTTGTTTTAAGTTCGCTCAGGTTATGGGCAGGTGATTTGGCTTGTTTGGTCATGTTGCTATTCCCTGTGTGCACAAGTTTGAAGTTGAGGCTGGCTGCGCCTGAGGGCTATGAGATTTGAAAACCAGAATACCCGTTTTCGGCACAGGAACGCCCATTTTCCAGATAGATTCTTACGCCTGGGTGAAACAATAGTTCGCGCCGCTTGCCGGGTACATTGGCACCCATATACCAAGACTGAGCCCGTGACAGCAGCGTCATCTCCGATATGTCGAGCATGTGCTGGGCCCAGGACGAGGCGGCCTCATCAGTCGCCTCAATGCGGACAGCACCTTCATCGCGCAGGTGGTTGAGACAGGACACTACCCATTCGCCTTGTACTTCGGCACAAGTCGGTCCGTTGCAGAATGCCGTTGGACTTTGTGGGCCATAGAGCATGAGCATATTAGGAAATCCAGGCACGCCGTACCCCAGGTGGGTTTTCACGCCGTCTGCCCAAGTCTCGGTGAGGGACTGGTTTCTCGTGCCTCGAATGTCAATTTGCGCAAAGCCGCCGGTGCCTGCGTCAAATCCTGTGGCCAGCACCAAGACGTCCAGCGCATAGCTTTCATCCGCGCACTGAACGCCCTGAGGGTCAACCGCAGAAATAGGCGTTTCGCGCAGATCCACGAGCTTCACGTTTGGTTGATTGAACAATTCATAGTAGCCCTGTTCCAGCGATGGACGCTTGCTGCCAAACGGGTGTGGTGGTTCTGTTGGGGCGAGTTTTTCTGCCAGCACTGGGTCCTTCACCCGAGCCCGCGTTTTGTCCCGCCAGAATCGATAGGCTTCCATATTGGAATCCTCGTTGTACAGAATGTCTGCAAAGGTTCCCGCCCAGAAGCTGAATCCGCCACGCTGCCAGGCATCTTCAAACACCGCCTGGCGTTCTTGCGCCGATGCTTCCATTGCAGATCGCGGCTCGGGCACGAGATCGTAGAACGAAGAGTTCCCGTTGTTTCGGCGTCGGAAAATCTCTGGATAATCGCGCTTCATCGCCGCTGTTTCCTGGGTAGTATAGCGTCGTTGCTGCATGGGTAGAGCAAACATGGGCGTGCGCTGGAAGACTGTTGTGTGGGCGGCCACTTTCGCAGCTTCCTGAATGACCTGCACGCCGCTTGCGCCAGTACCGATTACACCGATGCGTTTACCAGTGAAATCAATCCCGGCTTTGGGCCAGTGTGCGGTATGATGGCAAGGGCCGGAGAAGCGCTCCAAGCCTGGCAGATCCGGCGTATAGGATTTCGCGGCAAAGCCGAGACAGGGAATGAAGAATCGAGTGCGTACCTCGTGTCCGTCTGCGGTACGGATTAGCCAGTTGTTGTGCTCATTGCTGAACTCGGCCGCTACTACGCGGGTATTGAAGCGAACATCCCGGCTGATGTCTAACTTCTGATCGACATGGCGAAAGTACGCAAGCAACTCCTCACCGGAAGGGAAGCGTTCGGTCCAGTTCCAGTCTTTCCACACCTCTTCCAGAGAAAATTCGTAATTTGGCACATGAGAATCGACCCTGGCACCAGGGTAACAGTTCCAATACCAGATGCCGCCAAGCTCTGGGGCGGCATCGAATATGCGTACGGAATACCCTTCCTCGCGCAACCTGTACAGTTGGTAAACACCGTTGAAACCTGCGCCGACAATCAGTGCATCCAGCACCTCGTGCTCACTTTCAATCTTATCTGTACTGTTCTGATCCATGCGGTTCTCGTATCGTTGTTATGCTTACAAAATTTAACAGAAACGAAGATGTACGTCATCCGTGAGTTACGGTTGAGACGGGGTCTGCGCCTGCAGCATACTTTGGCTCTGCCAGCAGCAAAGTATCACCGGCGCTCTTTCACCGGCGCTCTTTCACCGGCGTTGGGGAACGCAGAATTTTACAAATGTAAGCCCCTGCCGTTACTTGAGTGGTATGTGTTCACCGCTGTCTAACCCGGATGGCATCGACTTCGGGGTCGTGCTTACGCCAGATCAGGACGGTCGGGCGTCCACCACGTAACTGTGTGCGAAACCATAAATGAAAGTACAATTGTCAAGTCAGAAGCGTTTTGGGAGCGGGGTATGAATGAGCAGGTCGAAGCCTTTAAAAGGCTGTTGGCGGAGAGTCTGCACCGAATACCATGTTGTATCTCCATGGCGGTGGGTACGTAGTTGGTTCATTAGCTACACATCGCGGGCTGGTCGCGAATATCGCCCGTGCAACCGTCGGCAAGGTGCTTGCGATCGATTATCGTCTGGCGCCTGAGCATCCTTTTCCGGCCGCAGTTGATGATGCGGTTTCAGCTTACCGATGGCTGCTGAACAATAATCACGAGCCGCAAAATATAACCTTTGCCGCGTACCTGGCCGGGGCGTCTCCCAGGGACTCGCTGGTTGCACCTATTTATGGTGACCTGAAAGGATTGCCACCACTACTCATTCAAGTCGGCACCGCGGAGACACTATTGGACGATGCTCGGCGCTTAGCAACACGTGCAATTGCCGATGGGGTCGTTATCGACTATCAGGAGTGGCCGGACATGGTTCACGTTTTCCAGCACTTTGCGCCAATGATCAATGAGGGTTATGCGGCCATTGAGCGGATTGGTGCTTTTGTGCGCCATCACACATATACGTGATATACTTCTGTTAGTTAATGTAAGCATAATTACTATGAAGCAGGGATCAAAAAGATTCCTTCAAGTTACAGCTGAGGAGAATTTGCCATGAGCGAAGCATTAGATAATGAGCTCGAAAACTCTGTCATGGACCTGAGAGACACCATGCTTGGCCGCGATCCGTACACGATTCCCCTGGATGAGATAGATGTGGCTCAGCCAGCGTTATTTCAGGCTGATGCATTCTGGCCCTTTTTCGACCGTCTGCGAAAGGAAGACCCGGTTCATTACTGCAAAGAGTCGCAGTTTGGGCCGTTCTGGTCGGTGACCAAGTTTAACGACATCATGGAGGTGGAAGGTAATCCCCGAGTTTACTCTTCGGCCGACGGCATCAGCATTGCGCCTGTAAACACCTCAGCTCTGCCGGTGGAAATGTTTATCGCCATGGATGAGCCGAAACACGGAGAACAGCGCAAGACCGTTCAGAACGTGGTTGCACCGAAAAACCTGGCTGAGCTCGAACCGCTGATCAAAGAGCGGGTCGGTACCATTCTGGATTCGCTGCCCGTTGGCGAAACGTTCAACTGGGTAGACAGGGTGTCGATAGAGTTGACCACGCAGATGCTGGCAACGCTGTTCGACTTTCCGTTTGAAGACCGGCGCAAGCTGACCTTTTGGTCTGATGTGGCGACTACTCAGCCGGGACCGGATGGTCTGGTGAAGACCGTCGAGGAGAGGCGTGACGTGTTACTGGATTGTCTCAAGGCGTTTACAGAGCTCTGGAATGATCGGGTCAATCAGCCGCCGCGAGGGGACCTTATTTCAATGCTCGCTCACGGGGAAGCAACCCGCAACATGCAACCGTATGAGTTTCTCGGCAACCTGATGCTACTGATCATCGGTGGCAATGACACAACACGAAATTCGATCTCGGGTGGGGTCCTGGCGTTGAATCAGAATCCCAATCAGTACAACAAACTGCGAGCAGACCCTGGGTTGATAGCCAGCATGGTGCCGGAAATTATTCGCTGGCAGACTCCCCTGACCTCAATGCGTAGAACCGTGACGGAAGACACCCAGTTACGGGGAAAGCAGTTCAAGAAAGGTGACAAGGTGGTTATGTGGTACGTGTCGGGTAATCGCGACGAAGAAGTCATTGATCAGCCGTACGAATTCATCATCGATCGCGAGCGGCCACGCCATCACTTATCCTTCGGATTCGGGATACATCGTTGCATGGGTAATCGGCTTGCCGAAATGCAATTGCGTCTGCTGTGGGAGGGAATCATGGAGCGCTTCGACATGGTTGAAGTCGTCGGCGAACCGGTACGTAGTTTATCGACGTTGATCAAAGGCTACACCGACCTCCCAGTCAGGCTTCATCCCAAGAAGGTGGCATGAAACGGAATGCCCGGAAGTAGGACGCGACACACGCCAGCAGGGTCAGTGTCTTGCTGACCTTTGCTTCTGGGTCTGTTCAGCGAGTCAGTTCAAAATCGGCAAAATCCGGGTTCCCCAAAGCAGTACGAAACCGATGCATCGACCATGGCCATGCGGCAGGTACACCATTATCATCCAGGTACCAACTTTTGCACCCGGACACCCATACCGTATTCTTCGTTGCCTGTACTCGTTCCGCTTCGAATCGCTCAGCCGCCTCAGATTTAGGTGCAAATGCGGTATAATCGCCAGCCTGCAGTTCATCCAGGAGTTTCATGAAAAAATCGAGTTGGATGTCTGCAACGTCAATCAGTGAAAAATTGCCGACAGGGCCATTGGGGCCATTGAGCATGACGAGGTTGGGAAAATCCGGTGCGCATACCGATAAATAGGCAGATGGCCGATCGGCCCATGCTTCTTCCAGCGTTTTACCGTTGCGTCCAATGACCTCGATTGGGCGCAGGAACTGATCGGCTTTAAAGCCCGTCGCGATTACCAGTACGTCCAGTTCATGCAATTTCCCGTCTGCGGTACGCACTCCGGCAGGTTCGATAGCGCTTATTGTTTCCGTCACCAGTTCCGAGTCAGGATGTTGAATGGCATCGTAATACTTGTCGTCCATGATGAGTCTTTTACAGGCTGCCTGGTAGTTGGGCCGTAGTTTTTCCCGCAACACCGAGTCGCTGACTTTGTTTTCGAGATGAGCCAGCGTGGCCGCTTGAATGTCGGCCAATGCCTGGGGATTTTCACCCACAACGGCTGAGGAAAAGCCATGTTCGAACATCTGCATCTGTTCAGCGCGAATCTTTTGCATCGCTTCCGGATTTTCGCGAAAGTATTGTTTTTCCTGTTCACTGTACGTTGGATTCGGACGCGGTAAGATCCATTGCGGCGTGCGCTGAAATTGAATCAGTTTTGCCACTTTGCCCGACAGGTCGCCAATAATCTGAATGGCACTGGAACCCGTACCTATAATACCGACGCGCTGTCCTTCCAGTTTGACCGTATGGTCCCAACGCGCCGAGTGAAAGGTGGGGCCGGTAAATGTCTGCAGACCTGGGATATCAGGATAGGCAGGGTGGTGGAGTACGCCCGTTGCAGCAACGATGAAGTCGAACACGCCGCTCTGGCCATCTTTGCACTGTAGGTGCCACTTGTCGTCCTCAAAGCGCAATTGTGATATCTCTGCTTCGAACTGGACGTGCTTGGTTACGCCGTATTTTACCGCAACGTTTTCGAAGTACTCCAGGATCTCAGCGCCAGGTGAACAGGTGTGAGACCACTCCGGATTGGGTTCAAATTCATAACAATAGGAGTGAGACGGTACGTCGCAAGCGATCCCAGGATAAGTATTTTCTCGCCATGTGCCGCCCAGACGTTTGGCTTTTTCATAGATTGTGAAGTTGTTGTAGCCGTTGCGTCGTAGCTTGATGGCGCTCAAAATTCCGGCCATACCACCGCCGATGATTGCGATTTTGAGATCGCTTCTGTTGGTTTCGTGTTTCAACGGGATCCTTTCATCTGCCGAAAAATCGTAACCTATTATGGCCATTTCACATAAAAATAGAAAGCATGCTTACAATATCGTCACCGTTCAGTTTCTGTAACTTGTCTCGTAACACTGGATTGTAATGATGAAAACTATTTTAGTCCTGAGCGGTAATCAGCTTCGGATCTGGTCGGTATTTCGATTCACCCTTGCTGGCTATCCTCGAGCATTCACCATGTACCCTAAAATTGAAAATCTGGTGAATACTGCTCGATTGTATTTTGATATGTGTACTGACAGCCCTGCATGATCATCGATGCCGGTTCCCGCGCAAATTCGCGTCACCCGCGTTCAGATTGCCTGTTGCTAGGCCGGGACTTTGTCTAATGGTAAATCGTAACATTCGATAATGTTGTCGCGCATAATCCAGCGCTGCTGCTCGGCGGTTAGTCCGGATGCGTGCTTGGCCAGCATTTCCTGGGACCAGGGCCACGTTGCGTCACTGTGCGGAAAGTCGTTGGCCCAGACCAGGCGCTTTGGATTCATCAGGTTGGCCACTTTAAAGGCTACCCAATCGTCCTGAAAGGTCAGCCAGACGTTCGAGTTGAGGTAGTCGCTCGGCATTTTCTCCAGGTTTTTGCCGCCACCCAGCCAGATGGCATGGCGTTCGTAGGCATGATCCATACGGTACGCATAGTGCGGTAGCCATCCGGCGTCAGCCTCGGCGGCGATAAACTTCAGGTTGGGATGTCTGTCGAAAACGCCACCCAGCACAAAAACGCCCATCACGTCCTGAACGCTGCGAATAATGCCTAGAAAACCGTTGGTTTTGTTGCCGCGCACTTTAGCGCTACTGCTGCGCGACGTGAGGATATGGAACGACAGGGGCATGTTAAGATCTACGGCGCATTCCCACAACGGATCGTAGATTGCATGATCGTAGTCTTCGTCCTGCGGTTCACCGGGCATCATCATGCCGACAAAACCTTTCTTCTTACAGTCCTCGAAATCCGCAATCATCTGTTCTACCGAGCTGCCTGAAGTCTGTCCAAGGCCAAACAGGCGCCCAGCGGGTGCATCCTCGACGTAAGCTGTCAGCCAATTGTTGTAAGCGTGCATGCAAGCAGTCTTATAGTCGTAGTCTTCATGGTTGCACAACACCATACCCACAGACGGATACAGAATCTCTGCAACAACGCCGTCACGCTCCTGGTCCGCAACGCGATATTTTGCGTTGGACCCGCTCATGTGAAGCTGATCAAAAGTACACCCTTCACGCCGCTGGCCCAATTCTTCTGCTGACAGTCCTGCTGCGGCGACCAACCCTAGTGGAATAGTCGACTTCATACCGGGAATGACGTAAATATCATTGCCAAGCTTATCCCTCTCAATAGTTGGCGCCCGATCGCGGTATTTTGGACTAATGTACTTTGCATAACAGTCAGCGGGTTCGACAATGTGAGAATCCGCAGAAATAAGTCCAAAACCCAGATTACTCATAAAAATTCCCCCAGCGCCCTGATCGGCGCAATAAATTGAATCATAAGTATACTTACGGCTCGAAATTGGGCAAGGGAGAGAGTCACGCATCACTGCAGCCGGCAACGGGCAGCGTTTGTCAGGGATCAGAGTCCTGCGCTTTGAACCAGTACTCACCGCCCGTTGCAACGATCTTGCCCGCCGTAGGCGGAGCAAAATGTGTACCCAGGATGAGCGTTTCGTCGCCGTAGGCCTGTATGAAGTCGCGGCGGGTTCTTTCCGCGACATCTGACTGCACATCTGCGATGTCCTGCCAGCCGGGCTTGGCGAACTGCACCGGGTGGTGAAACAGATCCCCGGTGATAATGGCGCGCTCGCCGTTGGATTCGATCAAGACGCTGATATGACCGGGCGTGTGTCCCGGGGTAGGCACAACCCTGACTTGTTCAGTAATCATGTGGTCGGTTTCGATTAATTCAACCAGGTCTGATTCGATGATGGGGACAATGGAGTCGCTTTTTGCTTCGGCACCGAACGGGTCTTCCTCGTGCTCCCAGAAATGCCACTCCTCGCGTCCGATCAGATATTTTGCATTAGGAAATGTGGGTACCCAGGCTCCCTCAACCAGCATGGTGTTCCAGCCGACATGATCGACGTGCAGGTGAGTGCAGAGGACGACGTCGACTGCTTCGCGTGCGGCTCCGACTGTGGTCAGGTCCGATAAAAAGCTGCTTTGTCTCTGATTCCAGTCAGGCATGGCCCGTGGTTTATCGTTGCCGATGCAGGTGTCTACGACGATGGTGGTATCGTCAGACTGGATTACGAAAGTGTGAATGCTCAATGGCACTGTTGTATCGGAATTGAGAAAATGTGGCTTGAGCCAGCTGGCGAAGGGTGCCAGATTTTCAGGCGTCGCTTCGGGTATGAGAAATGCCAGGTCGATATTCTGCATGACGTCTACAACCCGCGTGATGCTAACGTGACCGATTTGCCATCTTTGCACGCTCCAGTCTCCTTTTCGTTCGATGATTCAATGCATGGATCCCAACAGGGTGTGGTCACTCAATCGAGTTGTCACCCATGGCATGAGTGGTCCGGCGTAGTCCAACACGATTCTCTAACAAGCTAAATTGTAAGTAAACTTATTAATTTGGCGTGTATTTGACCAGATTCGTCACGCAGAGGCATTCTTTAGTGGGCGAGAGGAACCGATACCGTGAAAGAGCATGCGGCAGACTTGTTGCGCGATGGCCTCGATAGACGTTTTGTCGGGTTGGTACCACTCGACCGACCAGTTTAAAGCGCCCATGAGCAACATTCGTAACAGGGCGAGATCAATGTCTGCGGCCAGTGCGCCTTCTTGTTGCGCCTGGCGCAGAATTTTCCGCCATAGATCAGCATAGGCTTTGCGTAGTTTGATGTGGTGCTGATGTACTTCGTCCGGCACTTGACCAAAATTACGAATGTTGGTCGAGGTGTAGTCGCCATTCTTCAACAGCAGAATCAGATGTGCATGCACAGCACTCAGGATTCTCTGTTCGGCGGATACATCTGCCGCAAGTTCCTTTTGACTTTTAAGCACGCCAGCGTGGACTTCGCGAATACCCTTATCCAGCACTTCTTCCATGAGTTTTGCTTTGGATTCAAAATGATAATACAAGCTTCCTGTTTGCATATCCGCTGCTTCGGCAATGTCCTTTAACGTCGTAGCAGCGTAGCCCCGAAGGCGAAAAGTGAGTGCCGCTGCGTCAAGTATTTTTGCGCGGGTACGGGCTGACTTGGTATTGCTTCCGGTCATTCAGTTATGGCCACTAATATATCCTTGCCTAAGATCTGAAATCTAATTAGTGTTAGAAAAAATGTCCAGCACCAAGTCGTTGCGCAGAAGGGCAGTGCGCAGAAAGGCAGTGCTGAGTATGAGACCAGATGGTTAACCAGGGGGATTGATGGATTACACAGATATACTGCATGAAGAGCGTGAGGGTGTTGCAACCATCACCATTAATCGGCCGGAGGTATACAACGCCTTTCGTCCACGGACTTGTGTCGAATTGATCAACGCGTTTCTAGACGCAGGATGGAATTCTGATATCGGCGCTATTGTGTTAACCGGAGCCGGTCCAAAGGCATTCTGCACAGGCGGTGACCAATCTGATCATGATGGCTCTTATGGTGACAAAGACGCGCGCGGCACCATCGGTATGCCAGTTGAGGAACTTCACTCGGTACTGCGAGATGTGCCGAAACCTGTTATTGCTAAAGTGCGAGGCTACGCGATTGGTGGCGGCAATGTTCTCGCGACCATTTGCGATATGACGCTTGCCGCGGACAGCGCGATCTTTGGACAGGTCGGTCCAAAGATGGGTTCAGTTGATCCCGGGTTCGGCACTGCCTACCTGGCTCGGGTTGTTGGGGAGAAGAAAGCGCGGGAAATCTGGTATATGTGCCGTCGCTATTCAGCGACTGAGGCGCTTGAAATGGGCCTAGTGAATGCCATTTTTCCTGAAGAAGAGCTGGACGCTGCAGTGGATGCCTGGTGTGCGGAACTTGTGGAGCGCAGTCCTACGGCAATTGCCATAGCGAAGCGTTCTTTTAACGCGGATAGCGACAACATACGCGGTATTGGTGGATTAGGTATGCAGGCGCTGAAACTCTATTACGATACAGCTGAGTCGAAAGAGGGTGTGCAAGCGTTGAACGAAAAACGGCCCCCTGAATTTCGCAAGCACCTTTCCTGAGCGCCTGGCGTGGATTTTTCCTTTTCCGAAGAACAAGACGCGATTCGCGATACCGTGCGCAGATTTGCCCAGGAACGGTTGGCGCCTGCCTATCACCAACGTGAAGTCGAGGGCAAAGTGTCTCGGGAGCTGGTACTTGAAATGGGCCAGCTGGGCTTGATTGGGGCAGACTTACCTGAAACATCAGGTGGTCCTGGATTGAGCAGTTTGACCGCTGGGATTATCGTGGAAGAAATTTCTCGCGGTGACATTAACGTCGGCTACGTGCAGTTGCTGGCTTCACTCATGGGATCGATCATTGCGACGCACGCGACCCCGGAGATTGCGCAACTTGCGGTACCCAGAATATGTTCAGGCGAATCGATTGTTGCTCTGGGTCTGACCGAGCCTCGCGGTGGGTCGGATGCCGCGCACTTAACGGTGCGGGCGGACAAACAAGGTGATGTCTATGTCATTTCCGGTGAGAAGACTTCGATTTCAATGGTCAATCAGGCAGATCATATTCTTTTGTTGGCGCGTACCAATCAGAGCAAGGACGGCGCCGGTGGGGTGTCAGCATTTTTTGTACCCATGGACAAAGCCGGGATTTCGTACGCTTGCTTTGACGATGTAGGCTCAAAAGCAGTCGGTCGGGGTTCGGTACATTTTGACAACGTTGAAATAGAACCTGAATATCTCGTTGGAGAACAGGGCAAGGGATTTGCGCAAGTGATGCAGGGTTTTGACTATTCCCGGGCGCTCATAGGC